TGTGTCCAGATTACGTTATGTTACATCGTTCATTAAGATGAGACTGTACATGAGTCCACTTGCTAAGAGGTACTTACACGTACGCTTGCTCGTACATGACAAACATTTGACGAGACACATTATCATCTTATCACTTGGCCGTGATCTGTAAAGATGAGCGCTGACTTGATACCGGCTGTGACAGCAAGATGAAGTTTCGGTCTTGTGTTCGTGAACAATCTCTTCCAGCTACCTCGATGAGGCCCAAACCTTTTCTGATGACCGTAATAGGCAGATATCATCCAAGGCACCAGCAAAGGCGTAGGAGATTCTGTGATCTGTTTTTCAGCACGTGCTGTTGAAGTTCGTGTACGTAGAGGCAATCACTACATGCAGAGACTGATGCCTGGGGATTCTTCAGCAGCACAACCCTTTGCTCTGGATACTTCTGACTTTCACATCTCTTTCCATGCCATTCCATTTAGCTGTCCGTCGTATAGCCGAGCACTACTTTCTTCTCTCAACCATTTCAAGATGTCTGGCTGCGGAAGCTCTGCTTGTTCATGGGGCACTGCCTGCCAATGCATCACTGGCAGCTGGTCAGGCGAATACATGGTTATGAACGCCACCAAAACACAAATAAAGTTCTCGTAGTGCAGCTGTTTGTATCTATTTGTATGTATCTGTGTTAATTTCTTCGCACAAACTTTTGAGTCGAGAATGTGACAGCATAATATTTTGAGACGCATTCAAAGTACATGATATAATCCTTGGGGACTTCTATCATCCACTTTCTGCTACATAGTGTTCCACTTATGGCCAAATTTCAAGAGTTCAGAATGTAATTATCCAGACTCTGCTTTGAATTTTAGATGGTTCATCTTGACTTGAAACAAATGTCTCTCTCAGTTATCTCATGCAACCCTTGCAACTGCAAGTGAGAAATCCGTATCATAAAGTCGAGATCATGTCAATTGTCTTCTTACAGAAGTCTCTATATGATAACAGGAAATGGTGTTTTTCAAAATTTGAGCCGTATCATAAAATCTGAAGACATGAATAAAGCGAGCGGAAGCATCAGCTGGAAGGTTTCTGCCCAAAGGTTGATCTTGTAAATCCGAAGTGCATGCGTGGGAATAAGATAATTTAGATCGCGGACTTAGCAAGGATGATAAGCAGTCAATGTGTGTGACTGTGATAACATTGGGATGCCCCTTGTATCACAGATTTGGTGGAGTCAAATGGTGGGAGAAAGAAATGCCGAAGATCTCACACTAAATCTTAATCTTATGAGGATGTTGGAAAACATGCATATTTTGCAAATTTATTTTTTTGTTTGTAAAATTACAGAAATCTTCTTATAGTAGAGGGACTCAGTACAACATCTTTTTACAAAAGGCTGTATCTGCTATTGCACATAAAGATGTAAGTATTAGCGTAACTATTCATCAATCATGACATCATCATCATGAGTTACGTAGATTGTGTCTGTTTCGGTCAGGAAGTGTGTGGTGTGATCGAAGATCGGCCTCCTAGTTGGTTAGATACCCTCCTCCAGTCTTGTCGAGGAGTGCTACTGGACTTGTTTCCTAGGCTTTTAAAAATCATGAGATGTTTTCGGTCATATGTAGTAGAATCAGGTGTGTGACAGAAGGATGTGAATGGAATTCCGTAAGGATCGCACGCCATCAGCTCATAGAAAGAAAGCACGATGAGCTGCAGTTGGAAGCTGTGTCCGCATGCTTGTCCCCAAAGCTGCAATTTCTTCTCGACTTTGTCTGCTGGACCGTGAACTTCATGGAAATGCTTCACATTGAGAAGTTCCATTTTCCGTAAAAGTTCCTAATTGTCTAAGGTCTCTGCCTCTCGCAAGGTCGAGAAGGACGTCTGGTGTTTCCCACTAAAGTATCTGAAGTAGCGAGAGGGAATCAGTGATTGATGTGGACTGAATTCAACCGCACAACCGAAGCAAGTGCTACACGGCACGAGCAATTCCGAGTATCTCTGCCGAAAGGACGCATTCCGCAAGTGCTTGACAGTTTCAGAGATTACAAAATCAATAAACACTTCGATGGCCACACAAACTACAGAAGTGATTCAGTTAGACACATGTTTAGCATTAGATTATGCATTTCAGAGCGGACTGATGCTGCGGACAGAAGATGCATTGCAATGCATCTTCTAGGATTCAATTTCCACAGGGTCAGAAACCAGAATCTACAGGCGTTGCAGAGCCTACATGACAGTGCCTATAACTAAAGGGGGATCAGATGAGGGTGCTGAATCGTAGTTATGTCTGATTAAAAACTGGACATTGCTGGGAGTTGGACTGCAGAGCCCATTATTAAACAGACATCATGCAGGGAGGAGGTTGTTGCGATGGTTCTGTCCGAAGTTCTGATGGTGCAGAAGTTTGAGGGCAGCTGATTCGTCGGAAAAAATTCCGTAGAGGCCGAAGGATTCGATGATCTGTAGTCATTGTGCAGATTCTTACTGCAAGTCGCTGATGACGGGCAGAATAGAGTGTTCGCCTCCAGGTCATCATGCTCGCCTGGTGCAATTCGTACCTCTGCGATTCCCACTACTGTACGGATGTGGGGAACCTCTGGTCTGCTGCTTTTTGTCATGAAAACAATTTCTCATCGGGAACGAGGTTTCCGTGTCGTGTGAAGAAAAGGACTCTGAATTGGGCCAATGTGCGACGCTGATGGGGTAGGGAGGGGGGCAGGAGGGAGCATCGGATGTTTCCTTTCTCCAGAACCATTATCGCCCTCGGTTTCAGTGGTTCCGATGGTGGTGAGGAAGCTGGACCTGTTAGCAGGTTTTATTTCTTCGGAGACGGTGATTTGTCGTGCTTTGATACTCATTCCAAAATTCAAAAATTGTGAGAGTTTGAGTTAGTCGCGGAGATCGCAGCTGTCAAGCTCGAAAACTATGTAGGATTAGTGGTGCTTGAGATGGTGAAAACTCAGCCCCATAATGCCTGTCAGTTTCTCTCTTACGTTCATGTCGAGGGGTCTGAGTGCTTGTCATGTCCTGCCCTTAAAACCTTTCTTTCCAAGCTCACAAAGTACAGGCGATATTCATTTTACGTTTTTGGGTTCACGCATGACATTGAGAAGCTCACTGTCATCCCTGGATTTCACAATCTTCAAACTCCGTAGTCCAGTTTGTTGGCGGAGTCACTGAACATAATGTTATACAATGGGACTGTGCTGCGACCATGGTTCATCTGGGGGTTTTGGTTGGTGAGCGTTGTGTGTGTTCAAGAAAATCCATCTTTGGAAGCTCAAGCTCTTCTCAGTCTGAAGGGGACATTCATTGGCATTCTTCTGGAGCATTGGCCTCATAGACGCGGTCAACAGTTCCCTGTCATGGCTGGGTTGGGGTGAAGTGTGACCATGTCACACAGAAAATTATCGAAGTAAATGTGACCGGGTTGGGAATTCGAGGCACGGTATCCAGTGAAATGTGCCTGCTAGAAGATTTGGGAGTGCTTTGTCTGAGTCACTGTGGGAACCAGCTCCCACATAATCCCGGTTTTGTACCAACAAATTGGACAAAAGTAATAAATAAGTACTATGCTAGGTAGGTTTATACTAGAATTAGATTTGTGCAATGCAGTTTAAGGTTAGGTGTCGCACCGAGTTCTTTAAACTCAAAAAGTGGCTAAAGGACAAACATACAACCTGGAGAAGGTGATCGAAACTTCGGAGATGGGTACAACCAGAAACGGACTGCTCGGGAGGGAGTAAGAGTCTCAAGAAGCTTCCTCAGTGTATGTTTTTGCCTCACCCACCGAAACCAAGATATTCCGCCAGAAGTCAAAAATAGAGTTTGAGGCTGGGGGATTAGGATTTGGGGTCGCCACAGGTTCAGGTCCGAGATCTCTGGGATTTTTCAGCGAGGGATAAGATTATGTAGTAGTTAGTACTTAAAGCCAAGACGCTTAGTAGGTTAGTATCTTGTTTTCTGTGAGGTTTGTGTGCTTTCCCATCAGAAAAGAAAATTGTTTCTTTGGTGACTTGATGCAAGGCATGACGACTCTCGTGGCAAGATCCATTGTGGGTGACTGTTGCATGTTTTTCTACTCGGTGTATACTCTCGTTGCTCATTTCCGAGAAGAATCTATTGGAACCTATAGTACGAGATCACTTCAGCTGTTGGAGGCGGGTGCAGGCAGAAGAACCTGAGATTTTTTTCGTGGCCCAAGTAGCCTAGAGGGGAGTAGACGTGTAACAAGGTGTTCCTTGTGGTCTTTACAGTACGAGTGATCGTTGTCTGAATTCTGAGCTAAGGCCAGAATTACTCCCGCGAAAAACCTATGAGTAGGTCTGGAAGGTAAACCTGGACGAAATCCTCAGGATTCATTAAGTAGGTTATGGCAGTTTAGTTGCAATGTCGTTGTAGTCTAGACAAACTCTATGTGACCGTATATGTGTCGGAGTAACACTTGGGCGCTGGGAGTAGAAGTCAGATGCAACTAACAAACTACCAGGTGGCAGGTTAGAGGTTAGTGGATGTACAGTTATGTGGAAAAATACAAGGTAGTGATAGTCAGGTCATTTAAAAAATTGTCGGTCAGTGGTGAAACCGGCCACTTTAAATAAAGCGCTCAGTGGTCCCAGCCACTTGTTTAATAATCTCACGAGAAAGTTCCATCACTCTGATCTGGATCGCTCTGGTCCGAATCTGGGAGGTACAACTTCCAAAAATTGTAGGATAGTCTCTTCTATTAGGTTTAGAAGTAAACTGTAGGTCTTCGTGGGAACGAAGTCGGAGCGGTTTACTTGGGAGCGCATTTAACTTAAATTAGATGCAAACCCGAGGATTACTGATCCGCAAGATTGCTACCGTCACAACCAGTTCGATGGTGCGCTGCCGTCGTCTCTGTGGAGCATGACACGGCAAATTTGAATCTGAATGGTTCTCTGTCGGGGATTTGCAATATGGAGAAGCTGGAAATATTGGATCTAAGTTTTAATGACGTACGCGGTGACGTGCCCGCTTGTTTGTGGAATATGTCACAACTGCGGTCTCTGGACTTGTCCAACAACTTGAACCTCAGGTTGGAAGGTCTTCCAGCTAGTGCTTATGTAACTCTGCTTCAAAATCTGGCGCTTTCGAACTTGCAACTATCTGGATCGCTGCCTGCATGGCTGGGCACTCTACACCAGCTTGAAGAGCTCGAACTCTCTTTTAACAAAATTGCAGAGCTTCCTTCTTCAGTTGGTAATTTGTCGAACTTAAGGACTTTGAACCTGACGCAGAGCAAATTAACAGAGATTCCAGCCTCCATCGATGGATTGTTAAGCATTGTGAAGATGGACTTTTCTGAGAATCTCCTGACAAGTGTACCAACTTCATTGAGCAAAGCTGTCAGACTAGAGATTCTCAACCTGAATTCCAACAATCTATCAGCTATTCCTCCCTCTTTGGGAAACCTTCAGTCGTTGAGAAAGTTGCTTTTTGCCTACAATCTCTTTACCGACCTCCCGTCTTCTTTGGGTGCTCTGGGTAGCCTCGACAAGCTCGATGCCTCGGACAATAAACTGGTTGGATCATTCCCCGCATTTGTACAGAATATGACCAGTCTGCAGACGCTGAATCTGGCTGGTAACTATCTCAGCGGAGATATACCCACATTCGTCTACTCCGGCTCAGGCTTTCGACTTTACAGTCTGAATGTTTCCAGAAACTCCTTTACAGGAAGCGTGCCAGACTTTTCCTGGGGTAATTATTATGCCATTCTGGACCTAGCTCACAACTTTTTTACGGGTGTACTCCCTCCACTGAATAACTGCACCTTCAGTCTGCTCCGACTTTCCAGCAACAGTCTGATTGGTGGCATTCCTGGAGAAACAGCACTGGCTTGCACATGCTCGATATATCCAACAATCGGTTGACAGGGCCTGTTCCTGGATTCTTTGGGTTCATGAAGCTCTTGGAGGTTTTTGACTTGTCAAATAATTTACTGTCAGGCACTCTGCCTTCTAGTCTGGGTAATTGCACCAAACTTCAGAGGATGAGACTTGGGTACAATCCATTCATGACAGGACCTATCCCAGCCACAATATGCAGTCCAGGAGCTTCACTGCTGACATTGTCCTTGGCTTACAGCAACTTTGTGGGTGAGATTCCATCATCTCTGGGTAATTGTACGAGATTGAAAGTTCTAGATTTAGGTGGCAATCAGTTCAGTGGAAAACTGCCCCTCAGTCTGCAGGATCTTTCAATTAGATTACGAGTTCTCATTGTCGCAGGCAACAGACTAGAGGGACTTTTTCCGGAATGGATAGTAAATCTGAGATGTCTGCAGGTAGTTGACTTGTCTAAGAACAGTTTCGTAGGGGAGCTGCCCAGAGACTACTCTCAGCTGGAGGGATTCAGGAGCAGTGCAAGCATGGCCTCGAAGGATACACTTTACTTTGACGATCTCAAAATCAATTTCAAAGGGGGTCCTTTGGATCTGCAGTACCTCCTATCCACACGAACTTCTTTCGATGTTTCTAGCAACTTGCTTTCTGGTAATCTTCCAGAAGAGCTGGCAGAATTATACGGCCTCTTATACTTGACCCTGTTCGAAAATAACTTCACTGGCACAATTCCGGTCAGTCTAGGTAAGATATCAAATCTCGAGTCTCTAGATCTGTCCAGAAATTCCACAAGAGATTGGTCAACTGTCATCACTGGCGTACTTCAATGTCGCTCATAATCATCTCTCGGGAGTGATACCCTCAGGACCATAAACGAGCTCATTCGACGCATCTTCATATGCTTATAATAATGGCCTCTGTGGTTCTCCCTTGCCCCGTTGTGTCAACACGGATGATGCACTTCTTCAGAGCTCCCAGCAGAATCATAGCCTTGCAAACAAGTGGATTTCTTTTCCGGCACTTTTGGCCGGTGCAGTAATAGGGTTCTTGACAATGACTGCGATCATTATCCTCAACAGGAGTCTCAGGGTTTTCTTCCTCCAGGCTCCATATGGGAAGGCCTATATCAGACAATACACGAAGAGAAGACCATATGGTATGTACAGACCTCCAAAGTGAGGCACAAATCCTTTGTTGTCTCGATGAGACATATATTATGTAAGAGAGTGAAATCTCATAAGAAGTTTGAATAATAGACTTAGAGTTTCAGAACAACTATGAGGAGAGTTGTTCTGAAACGTGTCATTTATGTCGGTATGTCGTTCTATCAACTGGTTACATGGGAATTGATATCAAATCAGTGTGCACGGTTTTGGCATTTTTCGAATTCCGAAACGTGGATAGTCCCTTCAATTCAAATAAAGTTTATAGCTGTAGATGACCACTTACTACAAAACAGATGACATTACTTCATGGACGTGGAGAGATCTCTCAGCTCAAACATGCCGAACTTAATGTTTATTATTCGTTTTTTTGTGTTTTGATTATCTCCATTTCTCAAGTCAGCTAATAATATCTTATGATGGACTTACGTACCGGTGACGTGCTCTCAATATTTCTTCTTCGGGTTCTCAACAAAGTGATCGCTTTAAAAAATTGATATAGAATCGATTTTATTTCTTTTCAAAGTATGGCCAAGGCTCGGTTGACGTCATTTTCTGTGCATTCAACTAATACAGGCAATGCTACTCTGATGTTTGTAGAGCTTTAGGGTTTAGGGGTTAAGGTTTTTTCTGTGGACGAGACTTTAACCGAAGCAGAACTGAAACGAATACCCACTCAGGTCTTCGCGCAGTAGATGTCTTATTTCAAGTTTATGAAACGTGTGCACTTCACCGAGCTGGTGTTAAGATCAAAGAGCTTGTGGGAAGTGCTACATCCTTGGATAAACTTACTGGTGCCTGCGAGTAAGATGGTGGAGTTCGAGCAACAGTTTCTTCGATTTATTGACGCGAGCACCTTTAATGGCCCCTCGGTCGCCTCTCTCCTCAACAGAAGCATGTAAGCAACAAACAAGTATCCAAGATTTGGAATCTTTGATACTACTGTCTCACTTGCAGTTGCAAGGGTTGCATGAGCATTTGTCACCGCACTTGCTTCCTTAGTTGGCGCCATCAAAGCTGTAAAGGAAGACCAAATTTATGATTAGATTCTGATAAACCGTCCCAGGATCCAAGACGTCGTGGTCGTTGTAGACAATTTTGAGAAGATGGTATATTCATGTACCGCCAATGAGTGAAGGAGGCAAACAAGAGGTTTTGAAATTTCATCAAGCATGAACTCTAAAGATGTGGAAACAGACGGGCGGATAAATACCCTCTCATCTCGGAGTTCGCAAATGTGTCCATGGACTTGACGGGGCAGCAGATAGCAAAGTCAGCAGCAAACCAAAATTCAGTAAGAATTGAGAGTCATCTTTGCTCCAAGTTAAGATGACATAATTAAGAGACAAGCCACAGTCTTGTTATTTGGCAACTTTAGATAATCAGGATACATATTGAAGTCGAAATACTTGGCTAAAGATTGAAGATATTTATGCAGAATGTGGATGGTTAAACTCCAGAAGCTATACTGTATCAACTTCGAATGCGTCAACAGATATTGGACCTCAACATATGCTCTTGTCAAATACGACAAGCAAAAGCTTCCGCGAATGACACATAAATACAGACAGCTGCACTATGAGAAATCTAGTTTCTTCTTAAAACCAGGACTTGAACTGACCTGTTGCCAGTGCTGCACTTGCAGGCGACGCCGCATGAACAAGTAGTGCTCCCGCATCAAGACATCTTGAAATGGTTGAGAGAAGAAAGTAGCGCTTGGCTATACCACGGACGGAGAAATGGAATGGAATGAAAGAGATGTGAAACTCAGGACGTTCCAGAGCAAAGAGTTGTGCTGCTGAAGAATCCACAGTCATCAGCGCCTATATGTAGTGATTGCCTCTACCCACACGAACTTCAACAACACGTGCTGAAAAATTATTGACAGAGTATTCTACGTCCTTGCCCATGCCTATGCCTGAGAAGTGGCGGCTCTGTTACGGCCACTAAACAGCGTTTGGATCTCATCGAAAAAGCCAGAAATGAATGTTCACGGATGGTAGATTGAGATTTCATCTTGTCACCTTCAGCTTCAAACAGGACACTGACCTGAATAGAGTTCAGACCTTTTGAGATGAGGCAAGGGCCGCATTTCTTACGTATATGGAGACTGTTTTCAAATACAAAACTAATGTTCTATCGATGTTTGTAGAATGTTTGAGATTGAAAAATAAAGCAGTGGAATACCCGCGGAACATATAACCATGGCACTATCAAAATCTGGTACATATATTTCACCTCGACACTATCGGATTCTAGTCGGTGGTGTCCAGTTGATTACTTTCTTTATTGGGTTGAAAGCATATTATGCATTTTTGTTTTCGACTCATGTTGCCTCTCTTGAACCAAAAACAAGGAGTGTTCCCGATGACCTTATAATAGAAACGTATTTCCGACTACGATGTTTCCCTGGATATTCGCGCCTGCTTAGAGGCAGTTTTCAGGACCACTTGATAGGCCACGGTTCCATCCTTCATGAAGAATGTGAGAACAATGCGGTGGAACTCACAACTAGCGACGTAAACTCCAGATATCATGTATGAAACCATACGTGTTATATTCGCAATAATCTACACAGATTGTTATTATACTTTGAATTATACCTTTTTAATACAAGCATCCACTATCTTAAATATTTTAAAATTTATTACGGTAATTTCATAATTTCAAGTTTAAACTCCAATAGAATTGAATTATTGAGATTCATCTGTTGAAATTTATTTGGCTGAGTATTACCTTATACAAAGATATTGAGATACTTGTTGTAAACATATATAGCAACAAAGAACAAAAATTCGATTGAAAATAATTTACAATGGAATGTAAATGAAAAAAAGAGTTAAAATAATTAAATATTAAATTCCTTTATAGTATTTTCTGTTAGTTCATGGAAAAAAATTTAGATTTTTATTAAGTTTAATCGATTAAACTATGATTGTAGCTTCTTAATGCAAAATTTGACATACAATTTTTGTTAGTTTGTGTTCTTCTGTATTCATTCAAATTTGAAATATCACGTTTTTTTTTTTCATTTTCGCAATGAAAAAATTTATAGATTAAATAGATTTGAAGCAATCATTGTTCTTGAACCAAGAATTGTAAGCGAGACTTAACATCAGGACTCACATTTTTGTTTACATCATTCAGAAAAATGGCTAGATTACGTGCATAATATTAGAAGGATACATGAACATAGCAAGTTCATTAAGTTGATATTTATTTGTCATCCAATATACAGGATTATGTATCAAGTGTGAGCCGGAGGTTTTTTCAAAACAGAATAAAAGTGGTAGATGTTTTAGTTTCTTTGCAAAGAGTAGCTATTAGGTTAGCATAGATTAGGACAATGTAAAGTGAAGAATAATGAATGGTAAGTTAAGTTAGTGCTAAGTAAGAAGGATGCAGGCGATGCTGCCATCGATGCGTAGATTTTGAAAAAGTGGTGAAAATTGTTCTGCAAAAGCAACTGAATTCGAAGATTTCTACAATGTAAATGACGTTGACAGTGCCAAGATTGAGGTAGCAAGAGATGACGAGATCATGGCCGAGCATTTCGATGTTGCTCAAGAAAGCGCAGTGGAAGATAACGAGAAGGACTGTGAGAGCACTGCCATGAACATGGAAATCAATATTCCATCAAAAGTAGAGGCTCTAGCTGGAAAGAAGTCGATTGACGACGATAAAAGCGGCATTACATCTTCTTCTGTAGACAGAGAGAAGACATATAAATTGATTGCGGTCGAGAATAGGAGCAATTAGTACAACACAGTAGGAGAGAATAATATAAGAGGACGCGAGGAAGGAAAGGTCCCAACAGCGGTGGATGTTATAGAAGAGAAATGCGACCTTGATCTTGTACCAGACATCAAAGAAAAGCTTTATAGTAGTGTAACAGAATTAAGGTATAACAGGCTCTCTTGTGATAGGAAGTCCATGAATGTAGAGGAGTAGAAGGTTTGTTAAAGCAAATTGAAACTTTCAAATAACAAGGATTTTGCCCCCGTTTTTGAACCGACGAAGGAAGGTGAGGATTGTTGACGGAAAATCATAAAGATAGACAAGATTATCAAGAGCAAGGCTCAGGAAGTAGACAAAGATAAGATTTGCGATAGCACAGCCAAACCCAAGCAAGTTGAGAAGAAGAGCAAAAGCACAACCAAAGACAAGAAGGAAGATCCGGCAAGTAAAAACATGAGGGAGTACGCTAAAAATACTGCAACGTAGGAGAAAAATCAGATCTTCTCGGTTACTCTAACAAGCACTGGCAAGGAGAATGTGGCTATCCATCTTTTTAGAGACACAAGTTACCAACTGGACCTTGAATCAAGGAATGACATGTGACTATATAAGTGTGAATTAGATAATAGAACAAATATCTCATTAAAAAATACAATTTATTGATCCTCGAAGAGTAACCATGAGTATTATTTTGTTTTTTAATAGTGTCTTGTCTATTAGTGTGGATTTGATTGGCTTTGTGTGGACTTCAAGGCACCCTAGTATCTATAAAGCTAACAATTTGAGTATAAAGAGTTAGATTGTCTAGTAGAACTTTTCACTTCAAATTGTGAAGTAGTTTAAGTATATATGTATTCATTTCAAGGTAAATAGTTCATAGTGCTGTAGGGCAACACTAACTATTGATCTTACTTTCTTTAAGACTTTGTTTATGATGCAACCACGAGATATAAGCATATAAAGCCACTAAAAAAGTACGAGACGACGTACTCGTACGATACAACATAAGATACAACTCATAAGTATCGGGTAAGAACAAAACTCCCACGTACACATTTTCAAGAGAAAAATGAACTGGATGTATTAAATGATTAAGCATCTTCAAATACGAAGACAGTCGAAAAAAGAGGGCTCGGAATAAAAGGGACCAAAGCCGTGCGCATCAAATTCGTGTAAAGTTTTCTAACGCTCTAGAGTTTCCGGGAGGAAACTCCACCAACACTCACTCTCACACTGCAGAATGTAGTTGCCGCCTGTAACGTTCTACTTCTAAAGTGCCACTAGTACAGCTGAGCCGGAGCTCCTATAGAACATGACCTACTAATCTAACATCTACTGAACTAAGTTTACAGAAATTTACAGAACTTTACGTCGTCAAGAAACGAAGAATGTCTCGCTCGAGCTGACGCAATTCTAGTAACACTGGTCCGGCTCGAAACCGATGCGACCCTCCACGTTATCGAACACAACACGGAAATTTTGCTGCTGGACATTTCCGATGATCGAAAAATTGTTCGAAGACGGCGCGAATGCCAGGCAGTATCTGCCGATCTCGTCCACCGGGATGACATAATTTTTGGCTGGCAGTTCGAGTTCTGCCCCTCCCTCGAAGTGCAAAGTCAGGGTAGGCACCTGCACGGACGTGAAGTTCGACAGGTCGTAGCAAGTATCGAAAAGGTCAAATGGGGAAGTGCCAGGAAGACTTTCAGTTCCATCCCGAAACGCGTCCCTCACAATGTTGTAACCAGCAGAATTGAACCATGTGATGGAGGTCCCCGAATCAACAATGACTCCTCCCTTGCCAGTACTCGGCGTCAGCTGAAAGGTCTCCGACGGTATCTCCAGCAATGAACCACCCACGCTGATGCCCGTCAGCCGCACGTAGTAGAACGAGGGAATCTTCTCATTGAGTAGCTGGGGTGTGTACTTTATTTGTGAACTACCCGTAGGGATGGCAGCGTCTCCGAATATCAGCGAGCTAGATTTCTCATCCCCACTCTCCCTGTTGGTCAAGCAGTAGGAAAATCTCCTTGAGTAGCGAGATTCCAGCTGGTTGGGAAATGACAGACTGCCCTTCCCCAGGCCCAAAATTCCGGCTGCCCCAGCGAAAAGACCCTCGTTGTCATATCCGCATCCAAATGGAACGTTTTTTATTTTCACCCGATCTCCTCCCTTGGTAGTGCCCATGGTGAAGGTCTCCGATGACAAGTACCCGATAGTAAAGGAACCATCCCCATAATTCACCTGATAGAGGCACTTGTCTTCTATGCAGCCTCCGACATTTAGAGCTTGGCACCAACCGGAACTTGAATAGCAAGAAACCACATCGAAAGTAGATGAGTTCATGGGGTTGAATATTGGATCAGGCTGCGAGTAGCAATGGCTGCATGGGTTGCACTGCATCCAGAGGAGGTCGCTCCCAGTATCCACGACCAAATAAGTACCTTCCGCTGGGGTTCCAACCTCCATCCTCGTAAAGTACTCCCCACTGCCGAGAGTCAGTCCTGATATTACCGGGCTCACCACATTGGCGGTATCAGAACTTGCATCCACATTGATGGACGATGGGTCTTGTGGCACGCTGAGGTTGTTCATCGTGAGGCCTCGGGACGCCATTTCAATCTTGTCGGAAAACATCGCGAGACGCTGCTTGTCCCAAAGAAGACTCTGCTTCACGAGGTCTTCGTGCTTCGCATCCTTCGGAAGAAAAGGCGAATTCGGCGAATTTCTGTGCCACAATTCAACGACAAGCCCATCAGACTTGTCGTGTTGGAATTGTGTTCTGCCCGCAGACGTCGCTGCATCTGCTACCCTCGAGCTGTAATCAGGCGGGCCATTGATTTGGAGCGTTTGAAACTTCTTCGCCTTGCTCCGTGCCCGCCCTTCCACGAGAACAGGAATGAAACAGAGCAGGATCAGAGACAGTCGGACTCGTCTGTTTCCCATTGAGATACTTCAGACACTATGCCCTACTCAATGCAGTATTGTGCCTCGCGTCGCTTCTTTCGATCTTGGGGAGATTCAAAATCTTCTTCACCACTGCTCAAGAATCCCCGCTGCGCATCTCGGACTCGGTGACGGAAGATTGAGATTCTTCAGACACTATGCCCGACTCAATGCAGTATTGTGCCTCGCGTCGCTTCTTTCGAGCTTGCGGAGATTCAAAATCTTCTTCACCAGTGCTCAAGAATCCCCGCTGCACATCTCAGACTCGGTGACGGAAGAAAAATGGGAGAGCGAGTTGTGCACTGAACAGGCCCTTAAATAAGCGACGGTGCACACCACTGTTTATTTTATAAAGTAAGCAGCGGTGTGCACCGTCTCTTATTTTACAATGTGTGTTAAAAAAGCGGTTGTTTTTAGTCCATTATAGCTTCTAGTATGGTTTCTGACTTAGAGGCGTTCAGTCAGAATCTTACGCATGGTAGCTTCGTGTCGCTGGCTTCAACCAAACGCAATTGCCAATTATGTGAATCATCTCGTACTAAGTTGAATTACTTTTGCGGCGCCAAGTAATCAGTAGGGTGAAACTAACCTCTCTCACGACGGTCTAAACCCAGCTCACGTTAACTATTGGTGGGTGAACAATCCAACACTTGGTGACTTCTGCTTTACAATTATAGGAAGAGCCTACATCTAAGGATAAAAAATCGACGTGGCTATGAAAGCTTGGCTGCCACAGGCGATAATCCAGGGTGCAAATAAGCAGGTTTTTTTAGTCCATTATAGCGGTGCACGGTCGATTATTTTACACCGCGTGTAAAATAAACAGGTTTTTTATTAGTCCATTATAGCGGTGCACGGTCGATTACTTTACACCGCGTGCAAAAAAAACGGGTTTTTTAAGTCCATTATAGCGGCGATTTTTCTACTTTGATTCTACCTGGACGTTACTCGTTGTACTCTTGTGATTTTCCGCAACCAACTGAACGTCAAATGCTCCTGGGTTTCAGGGTGGTAGACTGATTGCTCTGGATTCTTCACCAGGACAACCTTCGCTCTGGAACTTCCGGAATTTCATATCTCTTTCATTCCATTTTGCTCTCCGTGGTATATTCAAGCGTTCATTTTTTCTTTCATTCATTTCAAAATTTCTGGCTGCGGAAGCTCTGCTGGTTCATGCGGCACTGTACTTGATTACCATATACTTCATTTCCTGTCAGTACGAACATGAGGTAAATAAACTGAAAAAATATGGAAACAGACGGGCGGATAAATGTGGTACCCCACTTTTGGTATTTTTGAGGAAATTAAAACATTTTTGGAAAACTGTACCGCGGCAGCAGTGTAAATAGCCTTCGGTGCATCAAAACAGAGTGAATTCGGAAGATCGCAGAGATTCTCGAGTGAACTCGTAGAATCTAGGAGTAGGGTGCAACGTCGGGGACGGACACCACCCTCCATGTGGGCTCTGAAGGTATAATCCCTTCGGCGCAAGGCGCAAAATCCGCCTTCGGCGCTGCGCCTTCGGCGCTAGAGGAATCCTTCAGGATTTGGTCAATTCCCAAGCGCCTCGACTTGGTTAGAGTCTTGTTGAAAAGAGCTCGACGCGCTGATTCCAACGAGCCCAAGAACGCCACAAACGGATGAGGACTCCGGGAGTTACGAAGGTCGCAAGATACTCAGCTTTTCGCCTACGCACAGGCGAGGAAAGTTTTGTCCTATGCGCGGACGAAGGCAGTTCGCCTACGCGTAGGTGAAATAGGGTTTTGACGTAGGCGCGAATGTCGCCTACGCACAAGAGAGGAAACCTCTGCCCAGGCGGACGAGCGAAGGCCGCCTACGCACAGGCGCTTCGGCGTCGGCGGGAAATCCGCCGTCGGCCCTAGAAATGCGCCTTCGGGAGTAGAAATTGTACGGCGCCTTCCGCGCCAGCGCAACAGCGCGGACGGGCGAGTAACCACCGGAGTAGTAAAATCCGTACGGACCGTACGGACCGTACGGACGGAACGGATGGATGCGCCTTCGGTCGGACGGAGTTGCGGCGGCGAGAGCGCCGACGAAGAGACGAGAACTGGACGGAGGCGGCCGACACTCCTTCCGTGGATCCTCCTTCGTCATTAATCGAAGGAAGGATGTCGGTCGCCATTGATTGCGTTGGCGACTGGCCTTAGTGGGGCTGCGAGTGGTCTGCGGGTTCTGCCGCCGATGGCACTCCTGCAGCTTCGCTGCTCCCCGCTAAAATGTCCAAGGCGGTGGGTGAATGCGGCCGTGTCACATCCCCATCATCCGACTGTCGTGCGTCGATCGTCCCCCCTTCGCCGCCGACGTCCGCCGCGGAAGGTGATCGCGCGAAATGTGTCTAGGAGGGGTGCGATTGTGCATCGCGCACTCGAATTTCGTCCCGCCGACAAACAATCCGCTCCTCCGTTAGGTCCTGCTCCCTCGATCGGTCATGCGCGAGGGATGCGTCTGGCCTACGCGTAGGCGCAATTCCGGGTGCCTTATCGGCCTCAGGCGCAGCGCCGAAGGCCGTCCGCCCGATGTACCTTGGCCCGAAGGCCCTTCCGCCGAAGGCGCATTTTCCGGCGGATTTTCCGCCAAAGGTGCGGCCTCCGCACGCAGCCTGCTGGTAACTCGTTGGCCCGAAGGCCCTTGCGCCGAAGGCGCAAATCGCGGCGTGTTGTACGCCGGAGGGCCTTGCCCCGAAGGCCCTTGACCCGAAGGCGGATCTTCCGCTGGCTCCTTCCCCTTCCTACGTTGTACTAGGGGTGAATCCTGCCTACTCGTAGGCGGCCGCCTGTGCGTAGGCGAACTTCCTTTGCCTACGAGTAGGCAAAGGTCCACGCCTGCAAGAGGTCGCCTATCCGCTGGGAGTTGCCTGTGCGTAGGCGGCACACTCGTCCGCACCGCACGTAGTAACTCCTGACCCGAAGGCCGTCTCTCGTCCGCCAGAGGTGTAGCGTGGTCCACCGCTCCTGCAGACGTCCGCGCACTCCCGTCCTTCTCCGGGGACGCACTTCCCTTCTTCGTGGCGATCGTCGCCGTGTTCGCGCTGCTGGCTGGTAACACAAGCCTGCGCGCCTTCTGCTTCGGCCGGCTACACACTTCGTGCAGTGGTCGCTGCCGTATGGGAGCAATGGGTTCTCGATGTTGCTCCTCCTCTGGTTCCTCTCTCCATCTTCGTTTCCGCGGCACTCTTGCTGCGGGTGTGCTTCTTCCCTCGTCCTGCTGAGTCGGTGGAGTAGAAGTTGGTGAATACTCTGCGTCGGTGTCGACTTCGTTATCCCGCACATACTTCCCGGGATGGTCGACGGACAATGGCGGAAAACGAGCAAGCTCCGCCGTGGTCAAACAGTTCCTCTGTCGATAAAAGTTTATCAAGAAAGGGGAGAGGTGATTGAGAGTTCCCCCCTTCTCCTCATATGCGTGCTGTCGCATCACCCTATGTAGGATGCGCGCCCAGTGAACTCGAGCTCCGGCTAATGTGAGCTCTACAAAAGACACCTGCCACAACGTGATGTACGAGGTGCGGTGCGGCTGCAACAATTGCAGCAGCGCCGCCGCTACAGTCCAGCGGAAACGATCTTTGTAGTCACAGGTCTTGTACCCGTTCTTGGAAGACCTCCCCCGCTTGAACAATTCCACGAATTGCGCTTCGTCCTGCTTCGACACCTTGACGCTCTCACTATCAAATAGGAGGTACCCATCGTTGCCGGCACACCTCCTCAATGCCTGTGCCCAATCGTGGACGGTCCACCTATCTACGTGGGGACGCAATCCGCGCGTAGGTTGTCGCTCCGCGTCCAGCCATTCGCGCACCATGTCTACACATATGTAATTCCACCTCCACAGCAAGAAATCAAGTTCTCTTGCAATTAGCCGCTCTTCAAAAGCCCGCAACCCGTTCTGTGGAAGCCGGAGCGGCATCATCCGCAGCCTGTTCATCCTCGACATCGCGTTCTTGAACTTAGCCTGCGCAAGAACTCTCTCTCTGCTTTGCTCGAGCTTCTTGCTTCCTCTGCAAACTCTAATTTTTCTCAACTTCAACTCGCGCGCATGTGGTACCCCACTTTTGGCAATTTTGAGGAAATTAAAACATTTTTGGAAAACTGTACCCCGGCAGCATTGTAAATAGCCTTCGGTACATCAAAACAGAGTGAATCCGGAAGATCGCGGGGATTCTCGAGGGATCTTGTAGAATCTGGGATTTGGGGTGCAGCAGTAAGGTCAGGCACCACCCTCCCTGCGAGCTCCGCAGTTAGGATCTCTACGGCGCAAGGCGCAAAACCCGCCTTCGGAGGTTGCGTCCGCGGCTGTAGGGAAACCCTCGTAATTAGGTAACCCTCGGGCGCCTTGACCAAGTTAGGATCCCGTTGGAAAGAGCTCGAGGCGCTGATTCCAACGAGCCCAAGAACGCTTGGAACGGACGAGGACTTAGGGAGTTATCGCTACTGGAAGAAACGGAGGCGGTCGCCTGCGGCGGAAGGAGTTCGCCACCGGCGCGAATTCCGCCTGCGCGGAAGGGGGATTCAAGTTTTGTCCTATGCGCGGACGAAGGCGTTCGCCTGTGCACAGGCGAAGTAGGGTTAGGGAAGGCGCGAAGTCCGCCTACGCACAGGCGTTCGCCTGTGCACAGGCACTTCGGCGTCGGCGGGAGATCCGCCTTGGGCCCTAGAAATGCGCCTTGTGAGGTAGAAAGTGTACGACGCCTTCCGCGCCAGCGCAGCGCAGCGTACGTCGGAAGACCGCCAGAGTAATCCAATCGGTACGGACCATGCGGACGGCACGGGTGGATGCGCTCTTGGACGGACGGAGTTGCGGCGGCGGAAGCGCCGACGGAGAGACAAGGAACGGACAGACTGGACGGAGACGGCTGACCACGGTCAACGCCTTCCGCGCCAGCGCAGCGCCGCGGACGGAATTCGCCTGCGCACAGGCGAACGCCTGTGCACAGGAGGATGTTCAAGTTCCGCGCCGGCGGAGAATCCGCCGAGGCCCCTGCCTGCGCACAGGCAGGAGTTGAATTTTTGTCCGACATGCGGACGCACGCGTCAAGGCAGAAGGAGATTGGCCGAGGGGCGGTACGAACAAGTGTACCGCGCAAGGCGGAAAACTCGCCTTCGGCGCTACGCCCCCATGTCCGGAGGGTGACACGCTCGCGGAGTTCAAATCCGCCAATTCGAGCGTGAGAGTTTAATCGACGACGGCGGAGCGTGAAGCCGCGCGTGAGAGCGAAGACCGTTCCAGCGTACAGCCGGCGCGGCCATCAAGTGAGACGTTCTTCACGACC